CGTTCACAGCCAAAGTTAAAAGATTATAGACCATATGAAGGAGTTTGGTTACACATTTTTATTCAATCGGTTAGTCCTTCTAATTCAACAAGAACAACAGCATAATTAATGAATTAAATCATTGAAACACTGAATGAGACTACCTATTTAATAGTCTATAACAATGTTTGTTCCTTTGTGGGTGGAAAAAGAGGTAAAAGAAAATCCCTTCGTCGACCACAGTCGTAATCCAGAGCGGCTGCTCTGCTTGTGTTTTAAATGTATTCCTTTTGATTAAAACACACAGAAACATCATCAACCATTATTTTAACTCATCATTTGATCTGGTAAAAACGTCAGAAAAAGGAAAACGTCTTTCCTTACCAAAACACAAAGATCATCAACGGTTACTCTTATTTCTATCACATAAGACAAAAGAAGAAAACAAGATCTCACAGTTAAGAGCTGGACTTGATTTTTGCTTAAACAATGATTTCACAATTAATGTTAACAATCAAGAATAATTCTATTTCTTCATGTAATGTCATTGACTTAATATGAAAAGTGGCTGTGGTTGATAAATACATGCCACCAGGTGAGTTAATTGGACGGTAATATGAACATTCTGTAGAATTAAAATACATTTTTAACTTTGATTTGAACTGTTGCTTTGGGCTGTGGCTAAACGAATGTAGGTCCAGTTTGCCTCAAAACCGCAGCTTATATGACCGGTTTTTAAGCAGGTGGTTTCCCGTTTATTGTCATGAGAAAACTCCTGGAAAATGTCTGGAAAGGTCCTGGAACATGATGGTGGTAAAGAGTGGGAACCCTGAAGGCAGATTAAAGCAGAGAATATTGGATTTTTTTGAGGAGGTGGAAACTGTTTAGATTTATAGACTTAAAAGTTTTGGATAATGTTCTGTTTGGTCGTGGCTGGGAGGAATCTAAACATCCCCTTTTATCGTTTCCACCACGATGAAGAGTTAAACTAAACTGCCTCAGCTTCCATTTAGTCTCCATGTTACTGTGCAGTTACGTTTACACAACCACACTGTTTCATTAAACGTGGTCAGAACTACACAGCTTGTAATGTGGCACTGCTTCAGAGGAAGACACGGTTGGTCGGTTCTGATGGTGTTTGTGGGTGTGTTGGAATCTTCAGGTAAGACCACCCCTTCAATCACAGAGACCTCAGAGAGAGCACAAAGTGCAAAGGGAGAGACAGTCTGTCCTACAGGGAGAAGGCTCTTCGGACAGGTAAAGCCACTCAGGTACGAACAGGCTCATCGGTCGTTGTCGGCTTTATGTAAAAAAGAATCTTAATACGATTATTTGGGTCAAATTGGGAAAACCACGAATTTCCAAGCGATTCTTTATTTTAAACTTCAGAAACACTTTTGGAAAACAGAAACACACGCTGATTTATTGGACGTTTTGTCAAAAAAACACTTTAAGGAAGGTTCCTCCAGTTCATTTCTTTTCCCCGGTAAAACATTAAGTTCCCTCCGTTTTACCTGTTCAAACGAAAACAACGGAGAGAAGACCGCCAGCGGAGGTGTCGACGCAGCGACAGTTAAAATTAGTTACGGCGCTCCGTGACTATCACGTTTGTCACGCGGACAGTGTCCGGGAACGGGCGAGTAAAACCGAGCGCATGACTCGTGTTGCAGTGCGGAAATACGCAGGACTTGAAACAACGTTGCACAACAGCAAAATTTAAAAAAAAAAAACGTTTCCCCCAGATTTTATTAGCTTTTGAGGATCGTTTGGCCCAAAATCGTTCAATCATGATCAAATTTCGATTAATTGAGGCAGGCTATTGTCGGCGCAGTCTGTGAATGATTCTCAGCGCCGCCTTGAGTTCACTCAGATTTTGTTAAACTTATTAATCAAAAGCAATGTCTGTGCTTTTGAAAAACATCCAGTTAACTCCCAAAAACCAGAGATAAAATCGATAGGAAGTGTTGTCAGGGAGAGAGCAACAGTAATCTCCAAACCAGGACACAAACTTACAGCTCGTCTTGTTCCCTTCTCGTGTGGTTTCCTCCCTCCCTTCAGCTGCAGCTTATAACAGCACTGTATGTTGACCTCTTAGGCTCTGTCGTAATGTTGAATTGGATATTTATAGCGCAATTGATACAGTTAAGACCTTTTGAATAACAAAGCACTGACCCACAGACCTGCTTTCCCTTGGAGCGTCTGTATATCTCTACACGATATTCAGTCTCTTGATCCAGTGGTCCCAAATTAGAGTTTTTAGCTTATTTCAATTTATTAAATTAATTTTAAAAGTGGAGAAAAAGAGACGGCAACCAAAACTCCACAATAAAAAACATCTTAAAGTCCTTCATATATCCACCGCTGTACACAGTGAACTTAACACACGCAGTAAAACATTATTAGGATAAGTTCACGAGGCAGCAGAATTGGATGAAAACGCAGGAAAAATAATCAACATTGCGGATTTTTCGTTGGCAAAACGGACCATTCTAAATACAATCGATACCCAATAAGTTTCCAAATTAAGAATTTCACGTACCTTTAAACCTCTATGAGAGTGGCCTGTACCTGCATGGGGGACCCTGACAGTTTCTGAATCTCTTAATTGTCACTGCTATCGCTTTCTTATGTGGTTAACCAAAGAGGGGGATAAAACGGAGCTGAAATTCCCTATCAGGAGGGAACTTTATTATCCGAGGAGCTTCCAGCGCCGCATCAGTTGGAGGTATTCATGAAGCAATATTTGAACTATTACAAGATGAGTGCTGAGAACATCGAGGTTGGTTATCTGTAAGGTAAAGAGGTGTCAAGATAATATAGTTGCCTATTGAAATCATTGTATTGGAGCACAGGTTAGACCTTTTAATTTTTCTTTTTCTTTTTCCCCCCGTCAGTTAATTCAGGTTCACCGGCGCTTATGCTTTTACGCACAGGTAACTCACATTTTCACTTCAATTTTAAAAAGCATTCATGTTGCGTAAAGTTTCTATAATTAAGTAAGTAAAGTTAACAGGTATGCAGGCGCCGTGCTTCATGCGGCTTTAGTTCAGCGTCTCATACATCTGCAATAGGCTGCAAATAACAATGAAAACATTTTATTATGGAGCGCTATGGCAATTGGCAAACTTATTGCAAACATCTGAAAAGAAGTACAGCTCCAGCACTAAAAAGTTTGTTGTTAAAACACATTGTGGATTCGAGAACGGCTGAAATGGAAGAAAAAAAGAAGGCCAAGAATTTGGGGTTGAAGATCATCGGTGGTAAAAACAACCTATCAGAGGGAAATGTCATCCCCGTATGAGGTCCATGAAAGAATGTCCAAAAAAGGATTACTGTACACGCACAAAACAAACGAGGAAGAAGAAAGGAGCAGGGTGATTATTTAAACGTGATGGATGACATAATGAACTGTGGGTCTGGGCCTCGGATGGTTTGACTGGCAACTTTAGTACTCCTCACGGCGCATGTTTAGGCTTTCCCGACTTTTTTTTTTTTTTTTTTTTTTTTCTTTTTAAAAAAAAAAAGTCGCTGCGACATTAAAAAGTCATTTCAATATGTTTCACGCCATGGTGTTTTCCCATTGCTCCGACAGAACACTGTGCAGTTCTCCTACCTATTTCAAGCACCATAGTCACCGAGCAGGCCGACTGTCGGACCGGGATGAGCCGCAGCGTTGACATCGAACCTACCAGCTGTACAGTCCGCACCAGCGGGGAAACACGTCCAGGTCCTGGCCAACAAGCGGGGTCAACGCCAACGGGATGAACGGAGCGCGTGCACGGTAAGGAACGACGGGAAGCTACCGGAGAATAAGGCCAGGCAGGGATTGGGTGTGAGTCAGCGGGTCGACGGGCGAGTTTAAAGATTATTGTTATATATTCACTGTAATTACAATAAAATAATTAGTATCCATTTAACAAGTTGATTAATAAGCGGACAACCACATTGCGGCAGTTAGGTCATTTATGAGAGACGGGTGCAAAATATCGCGAGAATTACATCAGTGTAATTTGTAGTGCTTGAAATATTTTGGCATGAATAGGCCAGTAAACGGCTTTTATTTATAATTACGCATTCAAAGCACAGTCTTCTATTTGATAAAACTCAGCGGCAGGCGATGCGTCAATATGTGTAACCCACTCAAGGGACAGCTTACTTAGTCATATTGTCTCTGAAATGGATGGAGCAACTTTACTCCAAGGCCCGCTGTGTGGTGTGTGTGGTGTGGTGTTGATGACCAGATGAATCGAAAGCACCGAATGACAGCTTAAGGCCATTCGTTTTCTACATTTCAATAGGTTTAAAGCTCAGGAAAACAATTAACATTTAAAACATGTCCCTCCGCACAACATACGTGCGTCACTGTGAATATCAGATTGCATTCAAATTATAATCGAGATATCCC